TTGCATTTTCTTCATATACAAGCAATCAATGGCATACCACACTCAGATCAATCTCATAGTTCCCATGGTAAGCCTATGTATTGTTTTAACTTTTATATATAAATGTATAAAAGTATAACGAATCTTACACTTTTTATGTTATGAATTGTTATAGGTAATGGAGGAAATGAAGATGATGACAACCTTAAGCTTCCCTCTTTTCACCATGGGCTTAGTGGGGTACCTAAAGAACATGATTGCAGTTGCATGCATGGGCAAAATGGGAAGACTTGAGTTAGCAGGTGGAGCATTAGCAATTGGGTTCACAAACATAACCGGTTACTCGGTTCTTTCAGGGTTAGCCATGGGTATGGAGCCCCTTTGTAGTCAAGCTTTCGGGTCAAGAAACCTAACCATGGTTAACCTAACCCTACAAAGAACAATCCTAATGCTACTCTTTGCATCTTTACCAATTGGGTTCCTATGGCTTAACCTTGAGCCAATCATGCTTAAGCTTCATCAAGACCCTGAAATCACACGTGTTGCTAGTTTATACTGTCGATATGCTGCCCCTGATCTTATTGTTAATAGTTTTTTATACCCTTTACGTATCTTTTTAAGAAGTAAAGGGGCAACATGGTCATTAATGTGGTGTACTTTAATTCCAACACTTGTACATTTCCCCATCACCAACACTTTGGCATTCACCCTTCACTTAGGGGTACAAGGGGTTGCGATTTCCACCTTTCTCACAAACTTAAGTACATCGGTTCTCATTCTAGGCTACATGTTTTTTACCTATAATACCCCTAAGGAGACTTTATGTGAACCAAATGTAACAGAGTCTGGGGAGGGGTGGGGTGTGCTATTTAAGCTTGCTGTTTCGAGTTGTTTAGCAGTTTGTTTGGAGTGGTGGTGGTATGAGTTTATGACTGTTTTAGCTGGTTATCTTCATAAACCACATGTTACACTTGCTACATCTGCTATAGTGATTCAGACAACTTCTCTTATGTACACGTTGCCTTCAGCACTTAGCATGTCGATATCAACCAGAGTAGGGAATGAGCTTGGAGCGGGTCAACCGGGTAAGGCCCATTTGGCGACACTTGTCGCGATAGGATTGGCAGTTTTGACTTCAGTTTTTGGGTTGTTGGGGATTACTTTAGGAAGAGAAGCATGGGGAAAAGTTTTCACAAAGGACAATGAAGTTTTAAAGCTCACAATGACTGTTTTGCCCATAATTGGAGTATGTGAGTTAGCTAACTGCCCACAAACTACATGTTCTGGTGTTCTTCGTGGAAGTGCAAGGCCTTCAACTGGTGCAAGGATTAATTTTTGTTCTTTTTACTTGGTGGGGACACCAGTAGCCATTGTTTTAGCTTTTGTGTGGAAATTTGAGTTTTTGGGGCTTTGTTATGGGCTTTTAGCAGCACAGATGGCATGTTTGGTGTCAATTTTGACTGTGGTGTACACGACAGATTGGGAAGAAGAGTCAAAGAATGCAAGAAAGTTGGTGGGAGGAAGAAGTGAATGCATATATGAAGCTCAAATTATGGAATGTGAGCAAGGAATTGGGTTTATATAAAGTAACAGATATTGAGGAGTGAATACACGTTTATGTTTAAAGATTATGCTTCTGGATAACCGAGAAAATAAACTGTCATACAATATATGGTATGTGCTCTCATTAAATATGTATAAACAGTTCCTGAACATATCTCTTCTTTCTGTCTTTAACTACATATATATAGACAAAGGGGAAAATATGTATCTTGATGTTGTCACAGAAAAGGGAGGAAGAAGCTGTTTTTCTATCTATTTGAAAGGGCTGTTGAAGAACCATGAAAAAAGATTTTAGTTCTTTAGGGAAATAAAGTTTAATTTAGTGTTTATATATACTACATAGTATATATATATATGGCATATCGTTAAATAAAAATATGATTTCTTTTTAGCAAAATCAAGTTTTTGAATTTACAAGTATTCAATTTTTTTACAAATACGTTTTAGAAAAAATGTCTTGGAACTTTTTGATTATCAGATGAGTGGAAATGGAATCAGCTGTAATAAAAAGAAAAGGTGAGTTTAGTGTACGTTTATAGATTGTTAGAACTTGGAGGTCAAATGAAAAAGAATGAATGTCTCCTGACTCGCCTTTTCTTCTTGTAAAAAGATGTATACATCAAATGCATGAGGTTTCCCCACATGTGAAGAATTGTTTCTAGAATTAAAACGAAGCAGCAAGATATCGTAATGAACAACTTGTACCTTGCTGAATTTGCAAAATCATCTCTGCTACAATGAATTTGAATGGGATTAATGACCTTCAAACATTGCACACTTCCAAATTCTGCTCAATGAGATCATCAAATTTCCGTCCCTCGATCGACAAAAATGGAACCCTAGAGAGAAAATTGAAGAGAGAAACGTATCCTAAAACCATCAGTAGGTCAAATTATACATAATTCCACCCCTTTTTGAAGAACTTTATCACAACTGACCAACTTACCAACTAATCAAAATTCAAAAGTCAAAACTCACTACATGTCAATGAAATGGTGTTCAACATGTAAATCATGATTTTCTGTGTGTACGAGAGAGATCGAGAAAGAGATAGGTGGAGGCCTGGAGGGTAATACGGGTTACCTGTGCCAAAAACTCCACATCATGGCCACATGCATTATATGAACCGGTCTACAAAATTACCTATTTAAGTATTAACAGTTTGGGCTTCAGGCCCAATTAAATCATACTGAAATGTGGGTTTTGAGAAAACATTGATTTGTTATTCATTACATGATATTAGTCCATACATATAACAAAAAGTTTTGTGATTTATGATATAATGCATTTAAATTTTAAATCATAATGGAAAACAATTGAAAAGGATGAAAGAAGATATAGAAAGTTACATAGCACCTGCGTGATGCCTCGTTAAGTTCTTTTTAGACGTGATATGTCTTACAACTTTGAGAATGTAGACATGTTTTATACATAAAATCAAACAAATTTATTGGTTATTTTCATTAAAATCGATAGAGTCTAACCTTTTTTACAAGTCTTGATTTTTTTTAGAAAAAAGGACTCAAAATTTTGATTAATTACTCGGTTACCCGGTCATCCTCCTTATGTGGCAAATGAAATCTTTATTAAAGTCTCTATAGTTTGACCTTATTTACGATGAAGCTCTTGTTTTTTTTAAACAATAAAACTCAAAAGACTTGCAATTGTATCAATTTTAGGAATTACCTTGTAAGCATCTCTTTCTAGTGACATTGTTGAGATGGAGTTTGGGTGGATATTTTACATGTTTAGTTGGCATTTTAAGACCTTAAATATGAAAGAATAGTAGCTTGTGTTTACAAGTTGAACTTATAGAATAATTCTAAACACTTTGCGTATGAAATTAAGATATTGGAAGTGCATAATCTTGCAAATGATGGGTCAATCTAAAAAGTCCACACCACACTCAAATGGTGGGTTAATCCACCACCATTTGCAAGATTATGTGTTTACCAGTAGAGCTTATAGAATAATTCTAAACACTTTGCGTATGAAATTAAGGCTTTAAAGAAAGGTTTTCCAATAAAAATCTCTACTCCTAGTATGTTTAAATGTTTAAAGAGAATGACTAGGATTATGAATATTCATCGTGATTAAATCCTTACCATAACTAGTTATATCTTATAAAAAATGTTGATGTTTCTCATGCTTTATATGTCGATCCATTGATGACATGGTGTAAATAAATACATTGTGATTTCGTCAGTCATACAAAGATAAAAATAGGTGATATGTGTTGAAGATTTTAACGTTATCAATCATTTTGGTTAACTTGAATTAAACTTTTCAAATGCATTATAGCAACTTGTATAAGACCAGCTTGATTATCAACATGCCTTGTTACAACCCCAATTTCTAACAATATGGAAAGAAAAATAATTGTGCAAATGTATATCAATTGTCTAAACTATTTTAAGAAGAAAATAGGCGATACTATATATTCTCTCCTATGAAAATAACAAATGTTATATTTAACTTAAACTATTTTATGATGAAGAAAATACATGTTACTATATGTTCTATGATGAAAATAACAAATGTTAATTTTTAAGTGTCACTTTGATAGCTTTAACAAGTGTTAATAAGATTCACAATTCTTTCTTGAATTTGAATTCTTAGACTCAAGGGAGAGGAATCGGCATTTGCATGGCATGGGTGGCATACACCATCCCCTAACGGTGGCATGTCGAGTTACATAGATCAAATGGCATTTTAGTGACGAGGAGAGAGAGTGTGTGAGGGTTAGGGAGGAGAGAGTCATTCCTTCCCAACCCACTGTCACATCATTTTTTTCTCTTTTATTTTTTTCATTTTTCCCAACCCACAACACATAGAAACCCTATCTTTCTTAACTCACTCAATTAAAAAAAAATACAAAACAATGAAAGGTAAAATCTTAATTAGCAATAGAGTTACCGGTGATACCACTCCCGCTTCAACGGGTTGGTTGATCGGTTTCAGTAACTCATTTCATCATCTCTCTCTACTTTCTTTTTCTCATTTTCTCTTGTATCATATGTTTTAAAACTTGTACCTTAGTTGTTTTGTATTTTTTTTTAATTGAGTAGATTGAATGGGTTGAAAAAGATAGAATTTCTATGTGTTGTGGATTGAGAAAGATTTAAAAAAAAAAAAAAAAAAAAAAAAAAAAGACAAAAATTGATGTGACAATGGGTTGGGAGAGAACGACTCCCTCTTCTCTTAGGCTATTTCTTTTTTTTTTCAATTTATTTTTCAAAATTTACCAATTTGACCCACCTAAAAATGACATGTCATTCATGTCTTATGGCAAAAGTGATATGACGATGACGTGGCTACCAAAACGTTGATGTGTCGTCATGGCATACCATGCACCACTCCCTCTAGCCTTATAGGTTCTTTATGATGCATGGTACAAGACAAGATTGGACATGACTCAACCGGATTTGATTAGACTGGACTAGACAAACTTTTAGAAGGGCATGTACATTTTTCCTATTGACATCAGTCGCAGTCCAAACCCAATATATGTCAAACACAGTACAAATTGTCATGTCATACCTTTCTCTTAATTAATACAGAATTGCCCAACTACAAAAAGTGTAAAAGTGGAGAATTCATGGTGGGCAACCATTCGCTATCTTAGTCATTTAGAACATGCTATTGATGGGTTTTTAAAAGTAAGAGAAAATAACAGCAGAACAGAAAACAAAGGAGACAATCAAAGGTATTATAAAAGCACTCAAACACAATAATAAGTCCACACTAATATACAAACACCACAAGCATATTCAAATTCTATTGGTTTTTCGAGTACATACATGTCCAAGAAGCACCACCAGTCACCACCACCACCATTAAAGCATGCTAACCAGATTTGAACAGCAACACTGCTTTCGATTCCAAATAGAAATAAACAAAATGATTCGTCTCATGAGTCACATAAGAACCTACAAACTCAAAACCAAAACTATATGTTATCAGATGTTTACATATGCATATATCAATACAAATGTAATACTAACATTGAGCTTGCTATGAAAGCCTTGATAAACACTAGAATAATCTCACTAAAACCCATTCTTACTTTGATATGTATATGTTTTCCTTGAACAAATGTTTGCAGATATATATCACATACATCATTCCTGTTTTTACCTCACTACAGTCCATTGAAATTGAAACTTTGCAGGGCACTGATTTAAACCTAGATCAGTAGATCTTAGATGCAAAATCAAATCCAAAACCAAACTCCTACTACGATCAAAGTTCACAGATGATTAACGACAATCCAATGCATAATAAATCAAAAGCAAGCAATTTCTATATGAAGGTTCTTAATAGGTAATCAAAATCCGATATAATGATGAATTAATCTAATAAAATAAGAAATTACCGAAGTTTTTGCCGACGATACAGTGCCAAGTAGGACCATGATTCTTATCAAATTCCTTCTTTATCTGTTCCGCGACATCCTTCTCCACACTGCAATTCTCAAACGCCTGCACACGCGTAACCGAAACTCCGGTTATATGAAAGAGAATTTCATAGAGAGTGAAGTAAAGAGAAAGGAATCGTGAAGTCAGGCGTTCAAGCCACGGAACAAATACAGTCAATTGAAAGAAGAGGAAGGCTGATAAATTACGGAAATGGCGATATTCACGGCTTCGTTTTGCATTTCTTCCTTCATATCGGCACTCTTGATGACGACTTTCCTGCTGCTGGAAGAAGAGGTCGATAACGAAGATGCGGGGGTTTTCCGATCATCCGCCGTATACGGCGGCTTAGCCGGAAAGGTACCAGTGGCCGGAGATCTCTTCCCCTCTTCGCTCATCTCTGCAAAATTCTGGCTAGTGAGTGGGTGAGAGCGAGTATAGATGTTTGGAACTTTCTTTTGTGGGGATGTTTGGGTGTTCGGATTACACAAAATAATTTTTGCTTAAGGTGTTTGAGATTTGCTTATTCATCGTCTTTATTTATTTATTATTAGTTATTTATTTATTTTTGAGAAAATTGCAAAAATAGGTTTTGTGAAAGTTGTTATTTTGCCCAAAATATTTTGTTCTAATAAAAAAGAATTTATTCTTTTGCAATTTAATCCAAAAAATTTTGAAAATATTTAAAATTGTGGATTTGTCCTTGATATGTTTTTTTTACATTTTTATTTAGTTTAACATTTTTCTAATTAAAAAGGAACAAACAAATTACTCATACCTAGACCTACTTAACTATTATCTTTAACACATTATACCTTCTTCCCCTTATCTATGTCATCTTCATTGTTGGCTGGTCGACGAACCACTCGTCGGAGATTTGGAACGATCTACCGGCAACAATCTACAAACATCATCAGAGATCTACAAAACCCCTTGGAGCGGTCACCTTCACACCCCCAAACCCCACCAACTCGTCACCATCAATGGAGTTCAACAAACAAAAGGATCTGCAAACATAACGAGTTTGTAAAGGTGGTATAGACATAGCGACTCCAACGAGCTACAAATATAGGTTACAATGATGACTTTGTCTATCTCCTTTTTTTACGAGCCAGCGTTTGTAGAAACCCTAACTTCGCCTTCGACTCGCTCCTTCTTTAACGACGATGTTAAAGCTACGTGTTATAAAAGCCCTATCACCATCGCTCCAATATGGATATTTGTTCTCACTTTACCCCTTCACAAGCGTCAATGGTAGTGGGAGCATAATCTTAGCATTGTCGTCACCTTGAGATTGATAAACACCGTTGGAAAATATTGATCGTTTAGGGTTTCCCTATTTCACCAAACTGTTTGTCTGGATTTTAGGTTTAACAACACGTTAGGGTTAAGATTTTTAGAGTATGGTTGTAGTGTTAAGGTTAGCATTCGTCGGAGAGGTGGTGGTGCAGCAAACAATAAGGGTGGTGTCGACCGATGGTTATCATGGAAAAGTTGTGGTTATCTCTGACGAACAATAAAAAAGGCGCTAGCAGTTTGCAAATATGATAGAGTTTGCAGATCTAGCCCCGATGGTGGATATCTTCGACGAATGAAGACATAGAAATGGTGTTTGTGTGTGTTAGTTTGTGGATGGGGTCATTAAGGGTGGGTTTTCATTTTTCATTTTTGTTTTTTGTTTAATTTTAAATCAAAAATAGAAAATTTAATAAAAATAATAGAAAAATAAAATAATAAGGGAAAATATGCCATTTGATGTATTTTCAAAAGAAATTAGACCAAAACCACTATAAAATTTCTATTTTGGACCAATAGTGTTTTCAAAAAAAAAAAATTAAACCAAAGAAATAATTTTTAACAAATCATAAGGATTATTTTTGCAATTTTAGTTTTTTTAAGCAATTTAGAATTCTAATATACTTCTAAACTAATTATATTTCACTTATATCAGTCGACCTAAAAAGGGATTTTTTAGAAATGACATATAATATTGTTGTGCTTAAAGTTCTTTTAACTTTATTTCTTTATTATAGTTATATATTGATAATAAAATTTTCATTTAAATGTTTGGATATAATAAAAGCAAAAAGTATATATATATATATATATATATATATATATATATATATATATATATATATATATATATATATATATATTAGTTTATAACCCGTGGGAACCACGGTTATAAAAATAATCAAACTTTTCTAGTAAAAACTCAAAATTATTAATATTTTAAATAAATTATTAATTTAAGAGATATTTTTACTAGTTATGTGAAATTATAATCATTGATTCAAATATATATAAAATTAATTTTTAATATATATTAGATATTTTTATTTGTGAATTAATGAATAAAATAATTTAAAATTTAAAATTTAAAATAGAATCACATTAATGAGGAGGTCTAATAAATTTAAAATGAAAAACTAATAGATTGACAAGTGGCAACACATTAATTAAAATGTTTAATATGGTGATACATGGCAAAAGAGCTACTCTTTTATTAGTATACTAGTTTATAACCCGTGAGAACCACGGTTATAAAATTAATTAAATTTTCATATTAAAAAATTAAAATTATTAAACAATTATTTTTAATAAATTATTACTTAAGGGATATTTTTTAGTTATATAAAATTATAATCGTTGATTGAAATAAATACATGAAGTTATATCGCCTTATAATCTATATTAATTTTATTTTATTTCTCAATGTAATGTTATTAATTAAATATAATTAGAATGAGAAAATTTAAAATCAAGAATCAATTATTAATTTAATGTAATTAGAGTGAGAAATTTAAAATTTGAAATGGATAATCAATTATTAATTTAACGTAATTAGAGTAAAATTTAAAATTTAAAATGGATAATTAATAAGTTAACAAGTGACATGATATATGATATATAACATTAATGATGAGTTCTAATTACATGACACTTGTCAATAGGAGATTAAACGTATTCTTTTATTAGAATAGGGATATATATATATATATATATATATATATATATATATATATATATATATATATATATATATATATATATATATATTATATATATGGAATATTAGGGTTTATGATGGAGATCTGGATACCAACTTGGATCGTAATATCACTTTCCGAACTGATATTTCTACCATATGTCTGGGTTACAAGAAATTCAGGCTAGGATAATCCAAGTGGACACTTACGTTTCTAGATACAGAAATCGTAAGTCAATATGCTAGAGGATTCTTTGAAAGTATGATGAAAAACGAGAGCTTAAGATCGTCCCCCTCTTCTGAAGAGGAATAGTTGTTTATATATTAAACAAGATTAGGGTTTCATTAGGGTTGGGCCGTCATTAGTTGCTTTGGCAACGGGACCCAGCCAGGGGCTCTGCCCCTTGGACCCCGCTAGGGGCGCTGCCCCTAAACCCCACCAAAGGGATGCTGCCCCTTTGGAAACCCCGGACCCTCGACTAGTTGTCGAACCGGTTTCTAATTCGATCTTATACATGCGTGCAATCTGCACAACCCCGTACATATATTAGAGTATAAATTATGAAGCCTCTTAACTTTGTATTATATACAAATTTAGCCAGATTTATTGGAATTCATTCAAACTTTTTATAAATTTGTCCAAATTATTTTTGCAATTTTGTTTTTACATGTTTTTTTTTTCTACAAAACTAGTTTTTACAACTTTTATTTATAAAAAAAAAAAAAAAAAAAAAAAAAAAAAAAAAAAAAAAAAAAAAAAAAGACAATTCGATGAAATGGCTTTATGGAATTTTAGCAGTCTGACATCTACCTTTGTATATTCGGACTTTTGCATTTTAATGTATCTGCGTGCTACTTTGTCCAAATGGTTGAACCGTAGGTTTTTAGATTTTAGTAGTTGGCACAACCATTTTTTGACCTAAACTTATTTTAGTTTCCTTCTCATGGCATCCTTCTGTAACTTTTTAGTTTTTACACAACTTTTTTGCCAACTTCCAAATATCACAATTCACACAAATACTATGCTCCTTTTTCTATTCTAAACACGTATCATCTTCAAATTGTAATAAAATATATCACCGAAAACAATACCAATATGTGAGTGATTACCTTATTGTGAGATTTGTATGTGATGTGTGTTGGGTTTGTAAAGTCGGGTTTGTATAATGCAAGTGGTGGACACATATAAAATGATTGATGTAGAAAACAATTGGAGCAAAAAGTCATAAATAGTCCGGTTCCGAATATTTAACTATCTTCAAATGCTCTAGACGAATCAGAAAAAATGGTCATTATCGTTGTTATAAGTTTTTTATTTTGAAATAAATAAATTTTTATATATAATACAATAAAATTTTGATTCAAAATAAATTAGATCATATGCAGTTGTCCACTTTACATCTCCCTCACCCTCAACGTCCTCGATGGTTATATATAGTTTGACAGCTTTAGTCCCTGACATGTTGTAACTAGAAATTAGCACATATCTTCTGATATTTGTCACTTTAAGTCTCACTAGTTTGTATGTTTAAAGATTTTACCACAATATTTTCTATAGTTTGACAAGTTTAATTCATAGCATATTGTAATTAGAAATTGGTCACATGTCTTTTAATATTTGTCACTTTAAATCCTTTTGACCATTTTGGCTTTCTTTTGGTCCCTTTTTTCATCTTATTACTTATTTTTCATTACAAATTGATCACACATGTTTTAACATTTCTAACTTTTAGTCCATTTGATCATTTTAACATTCCTTTTATCCATTTTCCGTCTACATGCTTCCATTTTGGCTTCTTTTTGTCATCGTTTTCTCATCTGTAAATAAAACAAAACACATTTCAGTGATATTAGGTTTAATAAACTTTCAAAAACAGTTACAATGGTGACCTATAGTGTCGTTCACTACGGACTGAGCCAATAGTTTTTGATTAAAGCCTCACCATATAATTTATAAATAATATTTTAAATATTTGAAAATAAACTAATCGGCCAAACTTGACCAAAACTCCAAAAGACAAAAGCCAATAATAATTTGTGTGGCAAAAATGACGGCTCTATAGTCTATGCTGTAATGTATAATTGGTTTTAATGGGTTTGCCTTAAAATAAATAGCAATTAATATGGTTTGGGCCGGGTTTGCACCCTAACATTTACTTGCTTGTCTTTTTAAATTTTGCAAATAACTAAGATATGATAAAAGCCATAAAAAAATATTATAACTATCTAAATACATGTTAAAACTTTTGACTTTTGACTTGTTTTATTAGTATTACTTGTCTATCCTTTTTAAATTTTTTATGACCAAATCTAATCTGAACTAATGTATACGTAACAAATTAATAATTGTTTGTAATGCATTACAACAAATGATTTAACATATTATATAATATATAAATTATACAATCCTCTAAAATATAAATTATTATGTTGTACGTCAAAAAAAATTATATACACTTTTCAATCTAATATATTCATTACTCTGCCGTATAGTAAACATTATTCATTTTATGAAATAAGAGAAAATGATAAAAATAGCCAATTATACTAATTATATTACAAAAATAGTTAAAAAAAAATCGAAAT